TCGCCTGGGCCGGAACCGGGCTCAGCTTCTCGCCCGTCCTGCAGCCAACGCGGAGGGGGTGAGCGGGTGCCCCGTGCTCACCCCCAAACCCCCCTCACCCCGGGGTGCCCCCGCGCAGGGGGTGCCATACCGGTAGACGGTGCTGATGGTGGAGGGGAAATCCTCCTGCAGCCCCAGGAGGAAGCGCTCCATCAGCTGGTGGATGCTGGGCTTCTCCCGGCGCTGGGGGAGTGAGCGGAGAGGGTGGGGGTGGGATGGGGGGGTCCCGTCCCTGCTGTGGGGATGCAGAGCTCGGGATCCCCCCCTGTGGGGAACAGGGAACACCCCTACCTTGGTGGGGAGGGGCGGCGCGATGACGGTGGGGACGTCAAAGAAGTGGTTGTAGAAGGCAATCTCCTTGGCCATGTACTCCCGCATGGGACGCACCACCATCACGTCGCCATGGCGGTTGTCCACGAAGCCCTGCGGGTGCGCAGGCTGCCGAGGGACTGCGCCGCCGCCAATCCGCAGACCCCCCCACCACAGCATCGTGTCACCCCTCCGGGCGAGGACAGCCATCCCCAGCGTGGGGACAGGGTGCTGGCGGGCTGCTCACCGTGTCGACGGCGAGGAAGGCACCGCGACCCAGCGCCAGGTTGGTGAGGAGCTTGACGGCCACGCGGGTGCAGCTCTCGCCCGTCATCACCTTGGCGTAGCCCCTGGTCCGGGCCGTCTGCAGGATGAGGTGGGTCCTGGGGGACAAGGTGACACCGGTTCAGAGCTACCGCGCCAAGCCTGGTGCCAGTGCTGATCAGGATCGGCCCCTCACCGCAGCATCTGCAGCAGCTCCTCTCTCGCCGTCGACGTCTCCACGGCCTCGAAAAGCCGCCGCAGCCCCCGGGGGGGGGCAGCGGCGGGTTGCGGGCAGCGGCGGGCAGGCGGGGGGCAGCCGTGTCCCCCACCTGGGTGCCGAGGCCGGGCAGTGAGGTGCCACCATCCCCATCCCCCTCCTGCCGCTGCTGCTGAATGAAGCCCTCCACGGCCTCCTTGTAGGAGGAACCGGGCTCACTGGAACCCTCTGGCCCCGGCCGCAAGATGGATGCGGGCAGCTCCAGCGCCTGCAGGGCAGAGATGGGTACCAGAGTGGGGCTGGGGGTGGCCAGGCGTGTCCCCCAGCCCCGGCGTGTGTCCCCCATGCCACCCCCGTACCTGCTCCAGGTGGGCCAGGTGGTAGGGGAAGCCGGTCGCCTGCAGCAGGGTCTCCATGCGGGCCAGGCTCTGCTCCCGCTGTGCCGGGCTCTGCCCGCGCACCGCTCCCTCTGCAAGGCAGCACCGGGGCCGCCGCCACGGTGAGGAGGGGACACCGACCTCCCACCCCGGGGCGAGGGGGACACCCTGGGGTGCCACAGCCTCGCTGGGCTTGGTGGCAGCCCCCAGCCCTGGCACGGCGCAGATGGACCCTACGCTGGGTGCGGGCAGCAGGGCAGGGAACAGGCAGCGGGGCTGGGAATGGGCAGTTGGGCAGGGAGCAGGCAGCAAACGGGCAGCGGGGCCAATCCTTACCATCAACATAGATGAGGCCGGGGACAAAGCGGAGCCTCTTGGCCGTCTCCCGGCTGAGTCCCTGGCAGAGGCACAGGGTGAGGGGGGTGGGTGAGCCGTGCCCCCCCAGGTCCCCCCATCACCCCCACTCTCACCTCCTGGACCTGCTGGAGCATGGCGCTGGAGGCCGGTCCCCCCGACAGTGCCAGCAGCACCTGCGGGGACAGGAGGGATAGTCACCGGCCCTGGCGGTGACGCCTGGGTCCCCCCGGGGTCCATGCCCCGCGCCCCCCAGTACCTTCTCTCCCGGGAAGATGACGCGGTTCTTGCCCAGCATCGCGCGGAACTTGTGCACGAAGTACTCGCGGAAGCAGCCGCTGCGGGGACGTGGCCCTGAGCCGCGGTGTGTCCCACGGCCCCCAGCCCCCGAGCCCCAACGCCCCTGAGCCCTGCGTCGCCAAGCCTCGATGTCCCTGAGACCCAATGTCCCCAAGCCCCTTGTCTCCAAGCCCTGGTGTCCCCAAACCTCCATGTCCCTGAGACCTGATGTCCCTGAGACCTGATGTCCCCAAGCCTCAATATTCCTGTGCCCTGCTGTCCCCAAGCCTCGATGTACCCGAGACCCAATGTTCCCAAGATCTGATGTCCCCCAGACCTGATGCCCCAGAGACGCGACATCCCCAAGCCTTGATGTCCCCAAGCCTTGATGTCCCCAAGCCCCAACGTCCCAGGGACCCAACACCCCCAAGCCCTGATGTCCCCGAGACCCAACATCCCCAAGCCCCAATGACCCAGAGACCCAATGTTCCCAAGCCCCCATGTCCCTAAGCCTTGATGTCTCCAAGCCCTGATGTCCCCGAGACCCAACGTCCCCAAGCCCCGATGTCCCCAAGCCCTGCGTCCCCGCACCCCGTAGCCCCCGTCCCGGTCCCGGTCCCTCACCGGCAGAAGGCGTCCCCGAGGCGGATGACGAGGGCGGCAGAGCCCTGCCCGCACTTCAGGCAGGGCCGCGGGTGGCTGTGGGGACACCGGCGGTCACCGGGCTGAACCGGGGGCTCCGGTCCCCGACACACCCCAGGGGCGGTACCGGGCAAGGGGGATCGCGATCCCGGTCCCCGGGGAAGCTCCGGGGGGTATTGGGGACAGCACCGGGAGATACCGGGGAGGTACCGGAGGAGTACCGGGGGGGACACCGGGGACAGCGCCGGAGGGGGACTGCAGGCAGCAACGGGGGGCAGCACCGGGGACAGCACCAGAGGCGGCTCCGGCGGGTACCGGAGGGATAACGAGGACAGCACCGGGGGACACCGGGGACAGCTCCGGGGGGTACCGGGGACAGCACCAGAGGCGGCTCCGGGGGGGGCC